CGAAGACACATAACAAGCGAGATGGATAGCATTTCTCCACTATTTTAACCAATGAACTGTTAAAAAAAAGATGAAGAAAGTCTATATTTAATGTGACACATTTGCCTGCATATTCAGTAAAAGTAATAAGATTTCACATGGTCTCTTTATTCAATGCCATAGTGCAGCATTTTTCTGAGAATTCTCCACTCAGCAGTTTTAATGGAAAATGTTAAATTTAATCACTGTTTTTCAGATGCAAAGTCTATAGCTATGACAATTGCGTGATTTTAGAATTCTAAACAGTGTGTCAGCATGAATTAGGAATGAAACATGCGTGAAAATGCATCAGGATATATTATTTAATGTCTCAAGTAGTAGCAGTAATTATGACATTAGTATACTCTAGAGGATAGACTCATGTATCGGACACATATAGGCAAACGGCATAATTACTGCCAGTACTCGAGAGATAAAGAAAAATAAAATTAAACAAAAAATAAAACCGCAACATCATGTCCTGAACAAGGGTGATATATAATAATAGTTAGATTTGTTGTAGGTAATATACTTAATAGATGCACACTATCGTAAGACCACCTTTTAGTTCCAAAATGACCTTTTGGAATGCTGTTCAACAATTCCTTAACTACGCAGAGCAAGATTGCACGAATGTTCAGGAAGGAACGTTTCCAGACTACTTTGGATCTTCATAGACATGCCAAGCTCTCAATAGCAAATATCTTTAGTTCTTGTGATTGAGGAAGCCATTAAAGTCACCCTGGAGTTAATTAAATCACTCTCTTTTAAGTAAATGGGTATTTTATTTCTGAAAAAAGGAATGCATCAAGTATTTGCGCTAAAGGCACACCTGGTTCCCTAAAACCACTTGATGGCCATAACAGTCATTGTGTGGAAGAAATCCTCATTTTTAACCAAATGTAACCCTCTGGATATAGGAAATAGAATGGTGGCTTATCACACCTATCCTTAAGGGTAGCAGCTTTGGTTACCGTTGGTTTGGGTGCAATTGGTTTCTATATGGTAGCCCTGTCCAAAATATAAGCTTTTTAAATCTTACAATGTACAGTTTTTGTAGCTGAAATTTGAGGTATTTAGCAGCTATCCATTGAAGACTCCATACATCCATGCCAGTGGGATTGAACTTGCTTTAACATTCTGTCTCTTTTCTGATGCAGTTGGTACGTCTGTGTCACATGCAGTATTTCATTTTGAGATTTTTTCCCCCTTGACATATTCAATAATTCTGCAGCTTTTGTGACAAACAGACTTACATTCAAACTCTGACCATTTGGCTTCTAGCCGACACATGCTACTGCCAACTAATCTAACATAATTCGTTTCTGCATCTTTAATCATGCTTTTGTTAAAATGCTTTTTTTGTAAGTGGTATTTCTGTACTCAGTCATGTCTACCTGACATGATTAAACAAGGTATATAAAACTTTGATTTTTGCCAACTCTGTAGCCTTACACAGTTTCTAGAGATTCACCATGCAAACCCCCATTATCCTAATCCCTTTGGACTGGAATCTGCAGAAAATTCTGGGGACTGGAGGATGTAGATTTATGGTATTACATGGAGAAAGAGACACTATAGGCATTTTCACTGCTTCATCTCATATAAACAATATATGGCATATAAAAATTCACCAAATAAAAATTTAACAAATAAATAAATACAATAAAGCGAACAGACAGAATCTCCAACAAAACAATATATATTTTCAGAGTCTTTTAGGTGTTCCTAACAAAACCAAACCAGGGCTAATCACTTGGAAGAGGAGTCTCTCATTATATGGCACAGTGTTTCACCCACACCAGCCATCTCTCGAGCGAGGTCACATGAGCCAAGTAGCTCAGCTGCAAGTTTTTATCAATCACAGCTGGCATTTCTAGAATCTGACAATACCGAGACTTCCATAGAACTGACAAGGTGTACAATTCCAAAAAAATGTATTTTCAGTCATACAATCTCCCAAAAGTACAGATACCACACATTAAGTGGGTTATTAATTTGCATCTGATGTAATGTCATCATGGCATCGGTGGGCTTGTTGGACAGAAAATAAGCCCCATGCAACCCATAACAATTATATATATTTCATGCTAGGATAACATTACATCTTATATAATTAATATCCATTAGCTAACTACAACCCAAGCTGGAAATTTAATTCAACTCGGCATATAGCCAAATTGCGTTTTATGATTTTTTAAAAAAATTTTTAATTGCCAGAACATTTGATAGAAAATCAGGCTGAAGGGTGCAAAGCCCACCACAGAGTCCATGACTGGAAGCCATGATAAATGCGGCACTTAAGGAATATATTATATGTTGATATTTATTTAAAATTATTTATCAGTCCTGGTGTGAAATAAAACCTTTAAAACAAACATGTTTGAGGGAAATTCTGAATTACAATAGACATTCTGGCAAGTTTCGAAGATAAACTGTGGTAATATTATCTATATTTACTATGAGAAAAAAAGGTTATGGCCTCCTAAGAAATCTGAATGAGAGTGAATTAAGAATTAATCTGGACCACCCAGACTGGTCTAAAAGTGATTAAAATAGTTTAAGAATTCTCAGGAATTCATTTCCAAATAATTTCGGAACTATTTGGGGGTTTTGATAAAGGTCTATTGCTTGTGAGGAAGGTAGGTCCCCTACACAAAGAGGTTCTCAATATTGTTTTTTTTCCATTTTTAATATTTTCATTTTTTTAAATTTTTTTATTTTTTTTATTTGACACCCTCTGAATGGGGAAAGACGCCAGTGGGCAGTCACGGCAGCCTTCCAGCTCTGCTGGTTATAGTATATGGAAAGGGACCATATTGCAACGTCCCTACTGGTATAAAGGAAGTACAGAGAGAGAGAGAGTGTTCTATCCTGGACAGGATAAAATGTTTCTTCTTCATCGTGGCCATTCTAAAGCAAAGCAACAATGGTAGGCTGCTGCCCAACACTAAGGAGCCGTGTAAATGATTGACCATTTCCACAGCCCCCAAGTCTCATTAGTTTTCCATTTTATTTAAACGCAAGAATGCTGAGCTTTCCACATCGTTATATTGTATCAATTTAAACACGGTGTATAAGAATTGGGTATTGTGATGTGTTTTTAACCTTCACTTAGAGCAGTGTTTTATAGATACGCTATATGTTCGTTGGAGTAAAAGCTAAATCCCATTAGGCTTTTCAACAGTATGATGCCTGGAGGCTTGCCAGTAAGATCCACTCTCCAATTAGTCAGTGTACCAATATACTACCTTCCTGTGACATAGACTTCACGATTGCATAACAAAAGTATTTGGTGAAGGAAAAACAAAAAGGAATATTTTATATCCGCAAGTGCATTCTCTGATGAAACAGTTATGCTGTCATAAAAATAGCAAACAAATTGAGCAAAGAGATTTGGTTTTTACTCTGTGCTGAAACAAGCAAAAAAAAAAAAAATCAGAGTATATTATATTCAGTTTAGCAGGGAAACCATAGGCTATTAAACAATGTAAGTGCAATATGATATCAGGTATTTACTGCTTTCAATATGTTTGCTAAAATTGTGCAACTAGTGAGAACAGTTTTCCAGTGGATTTGCAGTCTTCCTGATCATTATTACTTAAATAAGAATAGTATATTCTGAAATTCAATATGTATCATGTAGAACATAAAAAAAAAAAAAAAAAAAGAATTAGTGGGCTGCAAGAAAATGAAAATGTATTTATGCGGTCACAGATTACCATTGGTATATACACGGAAATCAGGATGCACACAACAATAGCTAAACCAAATCAATTACTTATTAACAAAAATAGCATAGTTAAAATTTACAAAAGAAAGGACATAGTGTACAAAGGCTAGAATCAATATACTAGAGCAATTACCATAAAGCTTAATAGCCTACCACGGTAGGAAATGAGCCACAAAATCCCAAAGTTTCGGCAACCTGCCTTTCTCAAAGGATTTAGGTTTGCATCTGGCTGTTAATACTTAAAGCAACAGAGTATTCCCTCTATGCGACATGGTAATCCGTGACACTATAACAACCACATGGACGTGATGAGGTAGTAAGCAGTGAGGGAGGCGTGTTTGAGTGGTTCCGAGTTCTCGACTGACCCAGTGAAAGAAGGAAGATAAAATTGTATGTGTCACCCTAACTCAAACACCAACAGCAAAAATAAAGTGGGGAGGGGGGGTGGGTTACAAGCAGAGAAAGAAGTCCTAATTAAACAAACCATCAGCCTGCAAAATAATGGACACTATTGTCTTCTCCCTTAGTGCCGAAACTGGATGAACCCTATGAGAAGTAAGAAGGTGAGGCATGGAGAAAAAGGAAACTCTAGTGAGCAGGAAAGCCAGAGATTTAAGTGCACCAATAATACCCATCACTTAAAAGTACAGGTTCGATTATTACAATTATTTCATACCAACGGAATAGAAACAAACAGTTGAGAAAGCACCAGAGTGAAGGATGCATTCATGCTCGCAATAAACAATAAACGGTCAGTAAAAATTCTGCATTGCTAAAGGGAGTACAGTTTTTATGTTTATGATATATATGCCCAAGGTAAACTCTAAAAACCAAAGAAAAACAAGTTACCTGCGCTCTCTCCTTAATCCCTATGTATATTTAAACAAATGGAGGTCATTTAGTTACTCCAATGGCCATTGGAGGGAATGCCTGCCTGCCAACGTCAAGGCAGGCCCCCATAGGCGGGTCCTACACTGACCCTTCAGCCTGCTTCCTTGAGCTTCTGGCAAAGATATCTCTAATGAGACAGAGAGGGGTATTTTTTATATACACCCCAATATACTTATTAACCCTTAATAGGGAACACATGGGATGGGCAAAAGCATTGTAACAAAGCTGTGTGATACAAAAAGTGAATACAAATACAAAAAGATAAGTCCTGCGCTCACTCCCATCACTCCTGGGCAGCAGCAACAACCACAGGATACACCAGCCCCAATACATAAAGTAAAAAGCAAAGAAAAAAGTTACCTGTGCTCTCTCCTAAATCCCTGCGTATATTTAAACATTGCCCTTGACGGGGCAGGCGGGCATTCCCTCCAGTGGCCATTGGAGTAACTAAATAACCTCCATTTGTTTAAATATACATAGGGATTAAGGAGAGAGCGCAGGTAAAGAAGAGTGGATATTCGCTATTAAAAGAACAGATAATCAAAGGGTTAAATCTAAAAGAAATACAGTATAAATGAATGCACCGATGGTATCGAATGCCAACTAGCTTGACGGTAGTATCGTCACAGAACTCTAATGTTTCCTGGAGATATGGCTGAGAGACAAGGAGTTTTTTACATGTTTGGTGGAAATGTAAAAAGGTATAGAATTTTACATATAGAGATCTTGAAAAAAAATAGGAAGAATAAAATCAGTCAAAAAAACTGAAGTAGCCTTTTTTTTAAGCCAAATATCTCAAAAGAAGAAGCTCTTTTGATGACCCATGTGTTGCTAGCCACAACAAATGAGTGGGAAAAAAAGATTTCGCTTTCAATTGTACTCCGTTAAAAAAAAAAAAAAAATGTCCAACCCTACTGCCACTGCTGTAATAGCTGGACCTACTGCCACTGCAGTAATAGCTGGACCCCCGTGGACTACGTAAAGCCCATTAGCAAGTGCCTGGATTTCAAGGGAAGAATTCCAAATGGTTTTTAAGTTCCCACAATCCAATCTGCCTGTCCAATATCATTTGTCCCAAGGCCATTTGGAGAAAGTGAGGATAACATTAATGAAATATTAAACTTATCGCTGGTGGTTTGAAAAGGACATATGGAAATGTACAATCTGCAGATTAGGCTCTACTAAGATTTTGACCAAAAGATCATTGTTCAGTGGGAAAATGACCAGAGGATTAAGTAACACTCTAAAATGAATTAATACATTTTCATATTGAAAGCTAAACTATGGAGTAACAAATATCAAAGAATCAATTCATTTGACTATTCTCTAGCATCTCATCTTATTACCAAAAAGGTGTGAAAATGGGTCAGTGTACTGCAAAATATAATTATTATGTATATTGTTTGTAGTACACGAATAGGTGCATTTTCACTCCATTTAATTCACAGATCAAGTGAGAAGTAGTAACCAACAGAGGGAAAAAATGAGTAATAACACAAATCTCTATTTATGGGATATAAAAATGTAGAAGTTTTTTGGTTTTTTTTGCTCCCCTTTTTTCCCATGTATTGGTCATTTCTCAGTTGATCTGTGAATAAAATCAACATTTAGTGGCTGTCCCCTAACCATCACTTATTTTTTTTTGGTGCCACAAACAGAACTCCAAATCATCATGAATCAAACTAACCTGCTGATCTATAGTGCTTTAGAGTTACGGAATCCACACTAACTGCTAATCACCCTAAATATGGACTTGTGCATTAGTCTTCGACCAAATTGCAATAGGTCTATCCGTCAATGACGGTGGTGCAGGGGGATGTAGCAGTAGGTTTAGGTGTATACATTTTTACACCATCAGGTCTAAGTGGTGTTTCTAAACCATATTGATGCCTGCTGATAAAAGCAAGTGCAGGATTCAAAAACACTGGGTGGTCTGTTTGATGGGTGGTCAAATTTCTCTCTGTACCCTCTGCTCATACGTTAAAAACTTCTGTTTACAACTGATTTAATCCCATTTGTTTCACTAATGTAAATTGTGTAAAATTATGTGAATTGTATACTTGTCTTAGTATGTAATGTAATGTACGTGTGACTTGTGGTAACATTTTTTTGGTGCACATCTTTGGTGCAAAGGGAAGTGCGTTGTTTAGATAGCACCAATCTGGTGTTACTTTGACTTTTGACCGGTGTGCTGTTTTATATATTTGTTGTATATAAACCTACTCATTAGGGACATGTCATGATATAAAGAGATTTGCCTAAGCTCTTGTCTTTAAGCTGTTTAATGGAGAAGCCAGCAGAGGCATTTTGCCCCTAATCATGTACATATTGAGAAGGAAGCATTATCTCTTCCACAGAACGTAAATACTAAATAATTTATAGAGGTTTTTTTGTATCGGTTATTTTGCTCCTCATCTGACAACATTTCCCAGGCCCGGGGTTATTAACCCTTTGAATTGGAAATAAAGAACCAATTAACGGTTAAGTGTAGGAGTGTTTGTGTGCACGAGCATCTGTTTATCAAACAAATTAACAACCAAAAAAAGCAGGCAAATAAAACAAAGCTTATAATATCTGCTATTTTAAAGTGAAATGTAGTTAATTCTAAATGAACTCATAAACCCACTGACAGATGGCTATTTTGCCTACACAGCAGATGGTTAATACAGAGGTTGGATGGTATTCAACATATATCACAACACAGTAACACTGATTGAAACCGCAGACAAAATCACTCTGTACAAAGAGAGGAGGCAAAGCATACCGTTTTTTGATCAACCCACCCCATATTTCATTATTTGCGTTTCTTAACACTTAATTTAAAAGTCAGCTAAACATTTGCTATCATTTAGGAAATCAATTAGAGAGTGCAAAATTGGATTTTGCTAACGGATTTTAATCCAAGAATTAATGTATCTTCCTCACTGCTTTCTATGCAACACTAATATTTCAGTAAATTTCCTAAAATTTAATTTAGTTTATATTGACGGGAAAAAATTGTCTCTGTTTTCATTAAGTGTTTTTATCGTTATGTATTTCAAATCTGTACTTGAAGCCTTTTTTTTTTTTAAATAAAGATAAATTAGCTCTCCTGAGAAGGATGGGGACCGTTTAAATGTGGTATTATACCCCAGCTTAATGCACAGTCTCCTCCCTCACCTTAAAATCATTGGTTATGTCAATGTGTCTGGCCATGAAGTTTGTCTGCACAAATAAAATAGTTTGGAGGTCCTAAAATAATAGGAGTACTTTCATGATAATTCATTTTTCATTCATTCAACCAGCGGCGACACGGGAAACACACACGTTTATTCACTAATGTGTGAATTGGGGGAATTAAAAATGAATTCAAGGTAAACGGCAAATTTTTTTGGACAAAATAATAGACTGGGAGAATTTGCAAATCTGGATATTGGGGCCTAAACTTTTAAATTAGCTTGAAATTCATACTGAATTCCTACAATTTACAATGTAGTGAATAATCCTGACAACAGGAAAAAAAACTAAAACCACAAAACACAAGTTTATGAAAGAGAATTCTCCAACATACAACAAAGCATGTGTCTGCTTACAGCTGTAAAACAGGGTGTCTTAAGAAGATGTGATTATAGTAACAATGTTTAATTCTGGACATTTAAAGTATTGCATTATTTTGAATGTTACAAGAAAAACTGTATGTTTTGGGAGGGACACAAAATCAACATAGTTGGACTTTGCTCATATTTTTGCCAAGTAAATGGATTAGTCTCATAGTAGCAGGCATTCGGTGACTAGGATAGTACCTACCATAACTGGGGTACATTGGTACTATGGCAAGCTTGCAATGTATCACCATATACTGTAAAGAAGTCCCATTATTTGTGGCTAAGTTAGGTGTTTAAAATTAACAAAAAACATACTATTACGTTATGTAAACTTTGAATCTTGAGTTAACTTAGTGAGTGTCAGTGAGTGTCCTGATTTTTTATTTTGTACTAATTGGTCCCAGGAACAAGTTTATAATGTATACATGTGCAAGTGTTGTTTTAGAAATACAATTTAATAATAAAATAATTCAAATTTTGGTACTGATCTTCCCAGGAACAGTACATGATGTGTTTGGCCCTACAATTATACACAGCTTTTGGTGGTACCCTTTTACATAGTTACATATAGACATATTTCCAATTGTCCATCAAGTTCTGCCTTCCTCACGTTTGTTTTTAGCTGTTGATCCAAAAGAAGGCAAAAAAAACCCCAGTTTGAAGCACTTGCAAATTTGCAACAAACTAGGAAAAAAATCCCTCTTGGCCCCAGAATGGCAGTCAGATTAATCCTTGGATCAAGCAGCTAGTACCCTACAATTAAAAAATTATATTATTGAATATTATGTTTTTGCAAGTATGCATCTAGTTGCTGTTTACACATCTGTACAGACTCTGACTTTGTCATTCTTTTACATGTACATTCAAAAAGGGTTCAAAATCCTTGCCTGGAAATTATAGACCTGTGAGCTTAACTTCTGTGGCTGGGAAAATATTTGAAAGGTTATTAAGGGATAATATTCAAGAATTCCTTGAGAAGAACATGGTTATCAGCAAAAATCAGCACGGTTTTATGAAGCACAGGTCATGTCAAACTAACTTGATTGCATTCTACGAAGAAGTAAGTAGAAGTATAGATCGGGGTGTTGCAGTGGATGTGATCTATTTGGATTTTGCCAAGGCATTTGATACAGTTCCACACAGTAGATTAGTGTTCAAACTGAAGCAAATCGGTCAGGATGAAAATGCTTGCTCTTGGGTAGAACATTGGCTTAAAAACAGAGTACAAAGAGTTGTCATTAATGGTAAATTTTCAAGCTGGACAGAGGTGGCAAGTGGTGTCCCTCAGGGGTCTGTTCTAGGACCCCTTCTATTTAACAGATTTATAAATTATCTTGAAGACAGCATTGAAAGTCATGTTTCAGTGTTTGCAGATGACATAAAACTTTGTAAAATAATACAATGTGAACAAGATATTACTTTGCTGCAGAGGGATTTAGATAGACTGGGGGACTGGGCACTCAAGTGGCAGATGAAATTTAATGTTGAAAAATGCAAAGTTATGCACTTCGGCGTAAAGAATACACAAGCAACGTATACCCTTAATGGAAGCGAATTAGGGATAACAACACACGAAAAGGACTTGGGAATTGTTATAGACAACAAACTATGCAACAATGTGCAATGTCAATCAGCAGTGGCCAAGGCCAGTAAGGTATTGTCATGCATGAAAAAGGGCATTCATTCTCTGGATGAGAATATCATTGTGCCTCTTTATAAATCACTGGTAAGACCCCATATTGAATATGCTGTGCAATTTTGGGCACCTGTTCTAAAGAAGGATATTATGCCACTAGAAAAAGTGCAGAGGCGGGCTACAAAATTAATAAAAGGAATGGAACATATCAGCTATGAAGAAAGGTTAACAAATTTAAACCTATTTAGTTTAGAAAAACGTTGCCTGAGAGGGGATAGGA